ACACAGCCATAAAAAAGAATGGAATCATGTCCTCTGCAGTAACATGGGGCTGAAGGGGGCAATACAGAAACAGAAAACTAAGTATCAAATGTTCTCACTTGTAAGTGGGAGCTAAACATTAGGTACTCATGGACATAAACATGGCAACAACAAACCCTGAGGACTACAAGAGTGAGGAGAAAGGAAGGGGGCAAGAATTGAAAAGCTACCTATTGTAGCTCACTATCTGGGTGATGGGTTCAGTCAAACCCAAGCTTTAGCATCACGCAATATACCCTGGTAATAAACCTGTACATGCACCCCCCAAAGCTAAAATAATCCCACTTGAAAATAAGTAAATAAATCTGTCGTTAGTCTCTGCCACATATAGAACCACTCTTCCATTGTTGTACCCCCTTTCATTACTAAAAAACTTGCAAGCTCTCAGAGCAGTCACTTATCATGTAGTACCAGCAAGCAGAAAGTAAGTCTGTGATTTTTAAACTCAAGTAGCTCATTGTTTGTCATGTGAATCATAATGAGAATAGTATTTCAGCCTCTCCAAACTGATTAGTTAAATGTCTTGTTTCTCTACTTATTCTCATTATAGCTGCCAGCTCTAATTTAAAATGTGATTATTAAAAGTACCACAGCACAATTTTAATTTTTAAATTATGGACATAGTTGGTATCAATGAAGAAGAAGCACTAATTGTAAAGGGACACAGTCAACATGGTTCAAATACATGATATGCACATTTCTTTCAACCTTCTGCCAATGTTACTAGAGACCTAACTTACCAACGGTCCCGGGCTTTCCAACCAAGTTATACAGCTTTGTAAAGTAAAGCTCCCACTAATGCCACCATTACCAATGCTTCTGTAACTATTTTCTTCCCTAAACTACACTTGCATTCTAGATAAACTGATCTCATTCTTTTGCCCTCACTCAAGCTGTTGGTTATGTTTGTATTATCCTCACTCAATCCTATCTCTGTGCCATCACTCATGTTCTTTATCATGTCCGCATTTTCTCTCTGACTACTTTCCAACAATCTAAATTATAAACCCAACTCAAGAAGCATCCCCTTAAGAACCACTCTTGATCACCTTCCACATACAATAAAATACCCGTCTTTGAAATGATTTTGCATTCTGTATAGTCTTCGCCATGTCAATTTACACTGTACTACTTACCTGTTCAGTGACACCCAGGGAATTTTTTTATATTTCATATGCAACGGCCTCATCGCCCCCAGGCAGATACTAAGTTACATGACAGCAGAGGTAGATTACCTTGCCTATTTTGAATACTCTAGGACTTATTGTAGAGACCACACAGTAGGAGTGTGGTCAATGCAATTTTCAATTAATGTTTGAAAAAACACTGAAACCTATAAAATAAGCAAAATAAGCCATAAATATGCATGGAAAGGGCCCATGAAGCAAACCTCAATTTTAATGGCACTTCACTGTACAGCAGTTCCCACTGCCAGTACATTTTCAGTTGTAGATATAATATCTTAACACACTTGTATGCCCAAATAATCAGACCCTAAAGTTTATGCATCAGAAGCCTCCACTCTCCTTATAGTCTTTGTCCTAATCTCTCTGATTTCCAGCCTTAATTATCATCCTCCTATTGGCATCTTGAAAGTTCCAAGACTAATGGCTACCCTGGGCTTAATTTCCCTTCAACCTTACAGTCCCTGCCTGGCCACCACATTAAACAAAAAAAAATGAAGAGATTCCTCTGCAAATGCCCTACATAAAAGATGTAGAAAGTTTTAAACCATCAGAGCAATAACGATGCTGTTTATGATTAAATACGGTACACACGATTATTTCTATTAAAAGTCCTTCCTTTGGGACTTCTATGATAAAACTGATTTTATTAAGAAAATCAAGTTAAGCATTTCAATATCAGTGATTTTTAAGACTGTGACTAACATAAATTCAAAGAAGAGTCTCAGTATAACAATAATGGTTCATGTCTTAAATATCTAGCATAGGCCAGATGCAGTGGCTCACGCCTATAATCCCAGAACTTTGAGAGGTCAAGGTGTGAGGACTGCTTGAGGTCAGGAGTTTAAGACTAGCCTGAGCAACATAGCAAGACCCCATCTTTCACCCCCAAATTTTTTTTTTTTTCCAAATCAGCAGGGCATGCTGGCATGTGCCTGCAGTCCCAGTCACTTGGGAGGCTGAAGAGTGAGGATGGCTTAAGTCCAGGAGGCTCTGGGCTTGAGGCCACAGTGAGCTAAGACTGCACCATTGCACTCAAGCCTAGATGACAGACTGAGACCCTGTCTCTTTAATAACCAACCAAACAACAACAAAAAGCTGGCGGTGGCTCACACCTGTGATCCCAGTATTTTGGAAGGCCAAGGTGGGAGGATTACTTGAGGTCAGGAGTTTGAGACCAGCCCGGCCAACAAGGTGAAACTTCATCTCCACTAAAAATACAAAACTTTGCAGAATGTGGTGGTAGGCACCTGTAATACCAACTACTCGAGAGGCTGAGGCATGAGAATTGCTTGAACATGGAAGGCAGAGGTTGCAATGAGCTGAGATCATGCCACTTCACTTCAGCCTGGACAACAGAGCAAGATTCCGCAACCTCTCCCCACAAAATATACATTGCATACTCTTTTATTTTTTCAAATAGATTTTTAAATCACTGATAAATTAGTAGAAAAAGACTCTATGAGTTAACATAAAACCTAGGTAAACTACCTCCTTCTCTAACAAATAATTTAAAGAGCTAGATACGCATTTAGAAATACAGTCTGAAACTATGTTTAATAAATTCCTAGTCTTCCAGAAGTCAGCAGTCAAAAAATAATACATTGGTTCATTATTATACTGTGACTTTATTAGAAAATGTAGGCTTCATCATTCACAGAATGGGGTAATTTTAGACAAAATTTTAAATTCCACAATTTCTATTATAATTTTTTAAATGTACCGATTTAGGGCACTTAGGGGCAATGAAGATTGTCAATGTTTTCCTTTCCATTATGTAGAACAGCATAAAACAACAAAGGTACATTAGAAAACCATTTCTAAATCTGCACCTTTAGATAATTTTCATCTATTGCTTTCCAGCTCCACAGCTATTGCAAATGATGCCTTTTCTTACTACCCTCTGCCTGTCAATTATTTTAATAATCATCCTACAATAACCAAGAGCATAAGCAGCACCTCGTAAAGTTATATAGCACACAACCTTACAACACAGTGGCCACAACCACTTCATAGGCTTGAAAAAACACATCACAGTTTGCACTGTTTCTATATTCACCTATGCCAAATATTCTCTCTGATCCCACACACTCCATTTTTAAATTACCTTTGCTAGCAATCTTCTGTTGATACTAAGAAACTGAATTCATTTTAAGTAAGACTTTTAAGAAAACAATAACTATAAATTGTACCTTGCTTCAATACATACAAATTGTAATTCAAATAAGAGTTTAGCTCTATCTTAAGGCAACAATATATGTAACGACATAAAATACATGGCCTTACAGGCACTATGTAAATATTAATGTTTCAAACCTTGACAAATTTCTAATAGATTAAAAATAAAACTCACAAAAACAACATTCATAATCACTGAAACTGCTTGAAGTGGGGAAGAAGAGTGAGCAAGCTATCACTGACAGTCACACAGGAATTCATAGACTTACAAATCTTACCAACGAACAATACTCATGTTTGAACGACCAAGTAAAGGTACATACCCAAATAACTCTCATCTATCTAGAATGGTAACAAAAACGAAAGAAAAAAATTAGAAAAACATGAAATGCTGACTTAAATGTCAACTGAGGATTTCAATAAGGCTAATTAAATCTGGAAGCCAAATGACAGGTTTTCTACCGTATATATCATCCTTTTCACCGGATGAAATCATGTGTCGAAACAATTTCAGAAGAATTAGTTAAAAATATAAAAAATGTTGTTCAAGATACTTTGGTACTTTCAAGGTGAATTACCCAGCAAAACAAGCTGGCACTTTCAAGAGAATGCTCAGTTGAATTATTATACATTAATAACCAATTTCCAAGCTTACATGATAAAAAACATGGGGTGAAGAATCATCTGTGAACTAGTTGTTTTATGAAACTGGACTGTCAGTAATATCTAACCCATATGGAACCTCCACATTTTCTATTGAGGAAGAGAAACAGATACTGAATCACTAATGCCAATCTTTAGCATAATACCACTAACATCTTTCTCATTAAAACAATCTCAGTGCTATTTCCTAAGGCAACATCCCCAAAGGAAACAAACAACTTGGACGGTGCAAATGTCAGCAGGTGCAACATGAAGGAATAACCTATATATAGTACTAGCACTAGCTTGTCATTCAGTCTGAACCGCCATTCCCTTTTTCACCCTATTAAAGTACTAACTGGCAAGCACTTGACATGCAGCCAGAAAAAAAATAACTTATGTCATCTTTTAAAATACTCAGACATAGAGTCCAATGTTCTCAAGAAATACGTCTGAACTGCAAGTCCTCTTTTTTCTCGGAGTTTTCTGAACATTAAGTTCCCTTTCCAGAAGTTAGAACAAGCTGTTACTTAACTAGCTGATAATGGCTGTTAGTCAAAGATGACCATTACTGGCTTCTTCACTGTTCTAGGGCTTCAGTCTTATGGAGTTAGTTTGTACAACAGACTCTGTATTAAGATGATAATGCAGTCACAATCAGTGATCTTTTTAAGACGTAAATTTCAAATTGCATTTGCTAGATTTGTAATAAAAAGTATCAAAAATGTATCCTTTAAAATTATTAACTACATTGTGGACATTCACGTAACTGAATGTTAAATAGGCATTAAAAGTTATAAAGAGGAAGCACCGATCCAAGTTATGTCACCCACCAATCTTGCGATGGAAACGTATCAGGGAAAGCTAGGTACCCCAGGGGTTGGAAAAACCACACTAGGCAAAGAACTTGCTTCAAAATCGGGACTGAAATATATTAACGTGAGTGACTCGGCTCGAGAAGTCTGATTATCGGATATCATGGAGTCTGGCAAGATGGCTTCTCCCAAGAGCATACCGAAAGATACACAGATGATGGCACAAATCCTGAAGGATGGGGGGGATTACAGAACATGAGCCAGCAGTTATAAATCAGTTGTTGGAGTTTGCCTTCTGATATGTGGCCACAATTCTAGATGATGCAAAAATTTCTCAAGCCATGCTAAGAAAGCTACTGTTGATGCAGATGATGTGCGATTGGCAATCTAGTGCTGAACTGACCAGTCTTTTACCTCTCCTCCCTCAAGAGATTCCTTATTAGATATCGCAAGGCAAAGAAATCAAACTCCTTTGCCATTAATCAAGCCATATTCAGGTCCTAGATTGACACCTGATAGGTATTAACAGCTCCAAACTATAGGCTGAAATCTTTACAAAAAAAGGCATCAACTTCTGCAGGAAGAGTAACAGTCCCGCGGTTAGGTGTTGGTTCGGTTACTAGCAAACCAAGTACTCCCACACTAGGCACACCAACCCCACAGACCATGTCTGTTTCAACTAAAGTAGGGACTCCCATGTCCCTCACGGGGGCAAAGGTTTACAGTATAGATGCCTACACTTCACAGTCTCCATCTGTAAAAGCTTCAATTCCTGCAACATTCAGCAGTTCAGAATGTTCTGATTAATCCATCATTACTTGGGTCCAAAAATGGTGTCATCAGAAAATACTGCCAATGAATCATCAAATGTATTAAAAAGAAAACATGAAGATGATGACAATGATAATTTGTAATCCAGCCTTGGTGTATGTAACGTGTATAGTTGGTCTTGAATGCATTGTACTGATATTAAACATGCATGCTGGATGTTTTCAAGTTGTGTTTTAGAAAACTTTAATAATATTTAATGAGTAAATACAATTACCATACTTTTCAATTGAAATTAAGGTTTTTCATCAGCCTTAAAAGTCTAAGAAAAATAAAGTTGTCGTTCATTAATTTGGAAAAAAAAAGTTATAAAGAGTAAACCTTTTTATGAAGTTTTTAATATTACAAGGCAACACACACATTCTTTAACCAGAATAAGCAAGACATTAAATTGTATTTAAAGCATGATCTCAAATACATGCAAATAAGTCTAGAGACAAAATACTATTAAAGAATGATTATCTTGGATGAGAGGATTTTAGCTGATATTTTTCCTTCTATTTTTGAAAATGTATGTAGTAATTATTCCTTTTTATACTAAATTATATGTAATTTTAAAAATATGCCAATGTTTAAATACTGTTTGCCAGCACCTTCTTTTAAGTTCTGAAATAGACAGAACCTCCAAAAAGGGACCAAAAAGTAGCTCCTGAGTCTGAAGGAGTGGAAGAGTATTACAATTCCAATGGAGACATTCCAGCAGGAAACAGAATTCCTAGAATTATTGAAGCTGGCTCACAGGGTCACTCCAGGCTTTCTAGGCAGATTTCCAGGAGGTACAACCACTCTCCATCCTGTATTACCAGAGTTTCCTCACTCATAAAATACAGGTAATATCTGTACCTACTTCAAGGGAGTTATGAAATTAAATTATTTAATATAGACAAAGCATTTAAAATGGTACCTGGTAAGTGGGAAATACTGTAAAAGCTTAGTTATTTTGTCATCATTCTTTTATCACTATTATTTTTACCACTACAATTATCACTATCTCTATTACTACTATCACCACCACCAATGCTAGCCTCATTTCTAAGACCATTGCTACTACAGGAACAGGCAATAGAGCTTCCCTCCCTCGTGGGACCATTTTCCAATGAGAACATTTTTGCCAATTTAACCTCAAAGAAGTAGAAGGGCAAAGAGGCATGAGAATCGCACCCGAGATTATTTTTAATTGGATGCAACGTGCCTCCGGCACTTCTTCACCAGCATTCTGGTCACCAAATGCCCACCCTATTCATGTCGGCTACCACACCCAGGCTGATCTTTCTCTACAGTGTAAAATTACCTCTCCTTGTTTCAGACTCTGACCTTTTATAAAAATTTGTTCACATCTTAAAAATAGATTTTTAATATGACCCTGACTCATTCAGAATATTTATCAACAGGACATTTGAATATTTTTATAGAAGCACTAAGTAGCAGAAAGTGACAATCCCTATACTTTAATAAACTTAGTCAATTCAAATAAAATATTTTTTTTAGTAATTTAAAATAAAAATACTTAAAATTTTAAAACCTTTAGTGAAAATATTTACTTGCAAAAAGTACATAGAAACCTAACTATTGAAACTCAGTGGCTGATATCTCTGGGGAACCTGAACCTACGCAATTATGTATGTAACAGATGAGCCCTAACCCTTTCTGGTCACAACTGGTTGGAACAGAGGAATACATCTGCCCCAACCCAGGCCAGTCAGATTGTATCCTGAAGAATCTAAAGACAATACCAGCACTGCAGTCAAACAATGTAAACATTAGGGACATAGGCCATAACTGAGTCTTCAGCACATACAAGCCAAAGACACAGGGAGGAAGAAATTAACAGCTGTACAAAGCAGGAAGCCAATCCACAGACAAATGCAAAAATGAAAGGCCATATAGTCTTGAGAAGCAAAAAAAAGTCAATGAAAGTCCCTGGCTTTCCATTTCTAGTCCCATGCGGTCTTAAGGAACTTTCTTTGCCTCTCTTCAAATGTTTATGAGACTGCCTACTGTACTCAAGTTAGTCCCCCTTTATCTAAACTAACTTGAGCCGATTTTATTCCCTAGGAGCAAATGTGCCCTCACCACAGCTGACATGATCATGTGACAAATGCACATGTCATCAGCATGTTTTCTGTTCTTGCCCTTGGTTAAATAGATTAAAACAGTGTATATAATAAAAAGTTATTTCATAAAGATTCATGCATCAACACCCCAAAGTACTGTCTTGCTTTGTATCCACAGAAGAGTAGATAGGAAGAGAAATAAATTTTAGAAAAGAATCAATTCTGCAAAAGAATTTTAAGTCTCATGGATAATCTATTACAAAATGTCTCTACGATACCTGCTTCTTGGAAGAAACATGGATTCCTTGATGAACACGGAACCAGAAAGGAGGATATACCAGCAGGTCCCAATATCATCAGGACTGAAAAGAAAAGGTAATTGAATCAGATTGTTACCTATAACAACAACAACAAAAAATAAAACATATAGCACAAAGTGCAGCACCTGCATTTTAAAATCATAAAGAATAGCAGCATAAAACATATTCATAAAAATACCATTATTCAACTACTAGAATCATTTTTACAAATTATTTCCTATCTCTGAAATATGCAAAAGATATTTATCAGTATTTTTAAATGTTTTAAATGTTCCTTAGACCTGTAGTACCTATCATTGTAAGTTTTATTTTTTACCTTTTTTCAACATGAAATACTTTCACTTACTTCATAAAATGAAAAAATACCAAGAGCTATCAGTGAAACTTACTATTCCTAATCATTTTCCCTGTCTAGTAAGTTCTCATATTTCTCCACTATTTCTTCAGTATTCTTTTAGAACTTCTTTATGCATATGAACACAATAATGAACATATATTCTTATCCCTTATCTTACCACAAAGGAAAGAATTGTGTAGAGCATGCTCTCTTTTAGGAGCACACTCTACACAATTCTTTACTTTGTAATAACTCTTAGAGATCTTTTCTTCAGAAGATGGCTTTCTTGAGCATTCTTTCTTACTGCTGTAGAGCATTCCTTTCCATTGTATGAATGTGCCATATTTGACTTAAGCAACCCCCTACTGACAGTCATTTCCCACTGTTTTCAACTATTGGGCAATTATATAAACACAAATAAAAAACTGAATAGTATTTTGTACATACAGTAGTAGCTGGAAGATAAAGTCCAAAGAGGGCAACTGTAGGGTCTAGGAGCACATACATAGTAATCTTGTTACTGTCAAAATGTCTTCCACAGGTAGTTAGCTATTTATACGCTAGCCTACTTCCCCACAGCCTTACTAATATAGTTTGTTATAATTTTTAAAAATACTGAAAAATTTTATGTGGAAGGCTTTTCTGGATGTTTAGAATATGTCAGGGAACAACAACAGAAAGATCCCTGCCCTCATGGAGATCATATTCAAGACTCATTGAGAAGCCATTTGAACAAAGGAGATGAATTAGCCACGGGGATCCTGAAAGGATCAGCATTCCAGGCAAAAGCCAAGAAGGATCAGAAGTGTGCATGCAAAGGCCGTGGGGCTGCCACTGCCTCACAAGGTCAGGGTAACTGAAGTGCTTCTGGATTTTTTTGCCAATCTGCTTGGTGAAAATAATATCTTAATTTTTTTTCATTTGTTTTTCTTATAAGACCATCTTTTTTATGTTCGTAAGTCATTTCTATTTCTGTTTTGTAAAAATCACTTCATAACTTTGAACAAAGACTCTATTAATTGTGAGGTTTTTTTGGGGCTGGGCACAGTGGCTCACACCTGTAATCCCAACACTTTGGGAGGCCCAGGCAGGCGGATCACCTGAGGTCAGGAGTTTAATATTAGACTGGCAAACATGGTGAAACCCTGTCTCTACTAAAATTACAAAAAAAATTAGCCAGCATGGTAGCTCATTCCTATAATCCCAGCTACTTGGGAGGCTGAGGCAGAAGAATTGCTTGAACCCAGGAGGTGGAGGATGCAGTGAGCTGAGATTGCCCTATTACACTCTAGTCTGACATCGGTGAGAGACTCTATCTCAAAAAAAAAAAAAAGAGTTTTAAAAATTTTCTTAGGCACCTTATAAAAACTGGCCTTCTGAAAACATGGGCTGTGAATACCTTTTCCCCCACTGTGTGGTTTACCCTTGGACTTGGTTTATGGTGCCTTCTGCCATGGGTAAATTATTTTATCGTGAATAGTCAATTGCATCAAATTTATTAGTTAGGATACAAACTCAGCTACTATTAAAACAAAAATCTAAACATAACAATGGCATAACCAAGGAGGAAGTTCATTTCTCTCTCACACACACAATAGTCTGAACACTAGAAGTACAAGACTGATAAGGTGTTTCCATGACATTGGGAAGCCACATTCTATTTTGTGGCTCAGCCGTCCTCAACCATGGCTTCCATTTGTATTCTAGGGTGGCAGGTCGAAATCTCACCACCACATCCACGTTCCAGTCAATGGGGGGAGTCGAAAAGAAACACAGAGCGTACCCCTTTCTTCCAAGAGTAACAACATGGATGCTGCATACCATGTTCCTCTCAGATGCCAGTGACCCATATGCATGTTGTAAGGTTGTCTTCAGCAATTTTTGCCAAGTCTTTGTTTTGTTTGGTTTCTGTATTGTGTCATTAAAAAGTTTTTAGAAGACACTAAATTATATTTACAACTCTGAATAATTACATTACTTAATAATGTCAATTACTATCACCTAATCACTTTCACTGTGCTAACTGCTTCCAAAGTGAATCAGCAGTTGAATATCTTTCCCCGCAAGTCCATTCTTCACCAAATTCATGACTACTTAGCTCAATAGCAATGCCTCAAGAAATATAAAGGAAAAGCATTGTTAAATAAAAGTTTCGTTTGAATGCAGAACCATAAAAATAAAATGATTTCTCAAGTGAAAATGCAAAGTACTCCAAAGAAAAATTCATATTTTTGTCTCCTTGATTTTTAATCATTACCTCTTGCAACCACCAATCATTTGTGAAATGGTTTGTGAAAAGAAAAAATTTATTTGTCTTTATTGATGTGACAGCATTATTCTTAAATTCTGATTTATGCCAAGTAAGAATGTTATTCCAGACTCAAAACTAGTTTAATAATTTTTAAATAACAAATGGTAAAACATTAAAATAGGAAAAAAAATTCTGTAAACTTTTTAAAATCTGTTTTTATAATGTTCCCTTTATCTCACACACACACACACACACACACACACACACACACACACAAAGGTTGGCCCAAGGAAGTAAAATCTAGAAAAATAGGAAATTAAGGTAGGT